AAGGGAGGTGGCTTCCCTCCCTCAACCGTCAGTCTGCAGTGATGGGGCCCAGGGCAATATTAATTTATTATTTAATTTATTATTATTATTATTAGTATTATTATTATTATTATTATTATTATTTAATTTGGGGAGAAAAATGGGGTTTGAACTGGGAAAAATGGGGTGGGAACTGGATTTGCTCCTTGCTAAAAATGGTGCGCAACAAAAATAGCGATATTAAAAGCCACTCATCGGGAAATCCCAGATTTAAGGACAGGGAGAGATGCTTTTTTTTTTTTTTTTTTGCTGGGGCAAGCCTGCTGGAAAAAAAAAAGAAAGAAAAAGGAGAGAAAACTGGGGAAAAAGCTCCCTTTCAAGGCAAAAATTAAGAGTATTTATTTGCTACTCATACCCTACGCATGCTATTTGAAACAAAAATAGCACGCAGCCCTCTGACAAGCTGTATTTGCACACCAGCGTAACCGAAATATCCTGCCCACTTTCATGGCAAGTGAGGGTACCGTCAGGAATATTTTCCATTGTTTTTAAAGCCGGCCCCAGTCACGCAGCGCGGAGGGCTCGGCCGCTCAGCAAGGGCAGGGGAGTTTTACGGAGAAGCCTCTGAACGATGTTTCTATTCCAGTTCTGTAAGAATATAAAAGGAATTACAATTAAATCTGTAAATGCAATTCTTTGAGGATTTTTACATTCCTATAAGATTCTTACTGAGAAATTACTCTTGAAATAGTACATAAATCTTACAGGACTCCCCTTGGATTACTGCGCTTTAAGTTTTTAAGCAATCTATCTATAGGTTTATTGTTTTATTGCATTTTCTTTAAAGAAGCAGATCTTCAGCACCGCCTTTCACAATAAATAAACATTTTGATAGCAAGTCTATCTCTTTGACCTGGGCGCAATACATACCACAAAGATTATAATTTTAAAATTTGGTAAAACATTGGGGAAAAATGATTAAAGGCAGCAATCTATTTCTAGAAGAAACGACGATCTGTGATGTTAACAGAAACAGTAGCTTAAAATTACTGCTCCTTGTCTATAACTTAACATCATTTGGCAAGTGATGGCACCGTCCTACCAACTGCCTCACCGCTCCTCATTCAACTGCTACGCCGTACAGCAGGTATCGAGTACCCCTTCAAAAGTGCCTGCTGCTTGAGAACCGCTTAGGAAGATTAAATGGAAACTTTATGGGCCAAATCTTTCTTGCCCTGATCAGATGACTCTAATTCCAAACGAACCGCTTGCACGAGGGAAGAAAATTCGGGCACGTCTAAAAACGTCCCTACCACGACAACGAATCGGTTTTCTGTTTAAGATGCTTCCAGTGTGAGCTCATTACGTTGCAAACTCTGCTTGCATGAAAGTGATCTGTGACAATCCTTAAGCCTGGGGCCCTTTTCCATTTGGTATTGATGCATAGGACGCAATCTGCATTTTTCATTCCGGCGTAAAACAGTATAACCAGTGTAGCTGCAGTTCTGCTGTAAATCTGATGCAGGAAATACAACATAGTCCTTCGAAAATATTTCTGTTGGCCTTAGTCTGGCCGCAGAGCCTGTTTTGTACGGGAAAAAAAGGTGGGGGGGAGAATGACCCACTGCAAAATTCAGTTTCTTCCACGGTCAAGGGCATCTATTTCATTATAAATGTAGTTCTGCCAAAACAAATATTATTTTTGAATCTTTCATTATCTTAGTCTCTGGAAATGGGCTAAAGCAGCATGTGTTGGTATTAGATGCCGCAGAGCCAGCTGTCGTGCCTGGCTGCACAGCGTCTCAATGTCAGCGGTTCAAAGCGGCGCGGGGATGAAGGGGGGAAACTCGATAGGGCCGGGAACCCAATTCCAGGCAAAAAGCACAGCGCTGTCTCGTCCGAGCGCGTTTCTTCCCCGTCCCACGGGCGCCCGCACCCACGCGTCGCGATAGATGCTGGCACGCCTGCGTTCTCGGGTATTTTCTTCAGCTCTGGGTTTCCCTAAACTCGGCCTCGCCTCCACCCCCAGGCAGGGGTCGGGGTCCCCGGGCCGGGCCCCCCGGGGGGCAGCGAGCAGTGCGCGGGCCCGGCCCCAGCCCTGCGCTCTCCTGGCACCGTTTTATTTTCGTACGGATCGATTTTACTGCTGATTTCTGTCATCTCTCCGGGCGCTGGAGCCGCGGGCCGCGGGGCCT